AATAAGGAACAAAGTGTACAACAGATCATGTGAAATAGGAAGAAATTGTCCAAAAGGAAAGGGAAACTGGGAAGGGGGAGGGAGGAAAGGAAGGGAAAAAATGAGAAAAGAAGAAAAAAATAGAAACAAAGCTTTTGTAAATAAGGAGGGGAGAGAGCTGGGGATTTAGCTCACTGGCACCACGCCTGCCTCACAAGCACAAGGTCCTGAGTTCAATGCCCAGTACCAATAAATAAATAAATAAATAAATAAGGAGGGAAGGTGGTGGAGGAAGGGGAAGGGATTGGGAGAAAAAGAGGAATCAAAATATACCATCTACAGGTACAAATTCCCCTTGATGAATGTGATTCTATATATTTAAATTGTACAGATAAAATTAAAACCCCACAAATGTCACCACAAAAAATTATGAATATTTGATGTTATGGATATATTAATTAGCTTTATCTGGTCCACAGTATATTCATAAATAACAACACCATAAATATATACAACTCTAAATTATCTATGTGTAATTAAAACTAAAACTTTTTTAAATGATTTAGAGCTCACTAAGTTATTATACTGTAAAACATTTTCTAAACACCACTAAGGTCAAGAAATAAAACTTTACTAGGCATATGGTTGACCTTTCATGTCCCCCTTTCTAGTCACCACCCTTTATTTCTTAAAAGTAGTCATTCTCTGGATTCCTTTTAAGTTTATTATCCATGTGTATATCCAAAGATACCAGTTTAGTTTTGTCTGCCTTTTTAAATTTCCTGTGTTTTGAAGTTTAATTTGCATCTCCCCCTGCTCCCAGCCCTTTCCTATCTGATGAACTGTCTCTCACCATGAGGTCTTTTTCTCATGCACTCATGGTGCATTCAGTGTGTCCATCGACAGTCCTGACAGTTGACAATGTCCTGACAGTTGACAACGAAGGTATGAGTAGGTTTGGTTTTGATGTTCCTTCATGCACTAAAATGTCCCACATTTCCTTTTTTATAACCTTGGCAGCCATGAATGTTCAGGGTCACCAGTACTGTCTTGGTCATGTTGTCTAAAGTTCATTCTCTAACACATCACATAGGAAGAACCCATGATCAGTCTAAGTTCTTCCACAGTAATGACAATTTTATTCCTTAATATCTGAAAGTCTGATTTGCTGGCTATAAAACCCTTCTTTTTCTTTGCATTTTCTTTCCTTGAGAATTTTGAATAAGCAATTCCAACTTACTTTGGTGTCAAGAATTATTTTTTAAAGTCTGATGATAATTTCATTTGCTTTATCTTACAAATCATTTAACATTTATACCCAGATACTAAATGACTTTTGTCTTTTTTATGTAGCCCATATAATTTTACTAGAATATGTCTCGTGTTAGTCATAGGGGTTTAAAATTGTCAGGTATAAAGTGTGTTCTTCCAATATAGTTATGAATCTTTTTTGATGTTTGTTTCAAAAAGTTTTTCTTGAACTATACTTTTTAGTATTTGTTCTGTTCCCTTGTTCTGATACATTTCCTCACAGACATCTATTACCATGTGCCAGATCTTCTATCTACTTGGAATAACCATCAGTTCTCCTTGAATCTTTTGTCTCTTTTTTCACTGTTTCTTACATTTAAAAATCTCCTTTTTAACTTCAATTTTTTAAAGATATCATCTGTTGTGCTTATCCAGACTTGTGTTTCTCTTAATCTAGTTTATTTTTGTTGTTTTGTTTTGTTTTCATATTGTACTGGGTTGAACCCAGGGCCTTTGTACTGAACTATATCCTCAGTCCTTTTTATTTTTTATTTTGAGACACAGTGGGCTGGGCTCAAACCCCAGGTCCTCCTGCCTCAGCCTCCTGAGTAGCTAAGATTACAGACCATTGCATCTGGCTTCAATTTTCATTTTTAAAGCCTTGCTTTTGTTCCTAACTCATTCCTGAATTCTGTTACATTATTTCTGAAATATTCCATGTGTACATAATTTTTTAATGCCTTTTAGGTTGAGTTCAAAAAGAAGTTCCCAGAAGCAAGCAGCCATTTAAGGCAAGCTGTCAGTGTCTACAAGGATACTCTACTTCTCCTCCTTATACTACGATTTAGAATGGGCTTTCACCATAGTGCTGCTTTTTTATGGCTCATTTCCAGTTTTACTGAACTTTTAGAAGGCGTGGTTCACAGAATTACATTTTTTTGTAGAATAATTCAAACTGTGACACTAGCTTTACTTCTTACTCTTCAAATGTTTTCCTCCTTCAAGTTTACCTGAACCTGCTCTTTCAAATTGTCTCTACTGTCCCTGTCTAGCTCAATATGGATTCCAACCCTAGCAGTTTCTCAGAGCATGGAGTAATGTCCAAAGGGAACTAAAGAAGGTGGATTCAAGAGCTCCCTGGGTGCAGTGGCCTCATCCCCTTCATACTTCATCTGGGAACCTTTGCACTCACCTACTAATGAAAGCCTCAGGACTTCACCTTCCTGGTGTCAGCTGCCCGCCCTGTGAAGACCTGCTGTCCATCTGTCCATCTGTCCATCTGTCAGCTTTCATCATTCAGAGCTCCATCTATGCCCTACTGTTGATTTTGTCTGGTCTGGTCTGGTCTGCACTGGTCTTGTTTGGAGACAGGGTCTCATCTCGTAGTTCAGGCTGGCCTTGAATTCACTATATAGCCCAAGCTGGCCTAGAACTCATGGCAATACTCCTGCCTCAGCCTCCTGAGTGCTGGGATTACAGGCATGTGCCACCATGCCCAGACATGCCCCATTGTTTTGTTCTGTTTTTCTGTTTTTCTCTTGATTGGACTGTTTTTCTCCTTCTGGGTTTTGTGGTTGCTCATGTTTATGCAGGTGCAGAATTAAAATTTCAAACTGATTTAAAAGCACAATATTGCATAGTCAAATCTCATGACTTCAGGCTCATCCAACTACAATATACTATCTCTAATTTACCTTTTAAAATTTGCTCAATACAAATAAGTTCAAAATATGTATTGTCCAACATTATGACTGTGTATACTGTCAATAAAATATACTATATTCTTGAAAAATGCTAAGAAATATATTTTAAGTGTTTGCACCATAAAATGATAATTATATGAGGTGAAACATGTGAATTAGTTAATTTAGCCTTTCTATATTGCATATATATTTTAAATATTATGTTGTATGTACATCATACACAAAATTCTATTTGTCAACATTAAAAAATAAAAATTTTAATATTTCTCCATCAAATCAAAGTCAATTACTGTTGATGGAGAGACCAAGAGAGAGAGATGCCTGGGCAGAGATCACCTCACAGCATGGCCCACAATCCACGAAACTTGCTTGCTATGCTGCTGAAGGAATTCTGAGGATCTGCTGGTTTCTGTGTGATCTAAGTGGGCCATTAACTTGCATCCATAGGAAGTACTTGAGAATATAAGAATCCAGAGCTAAGAGCACATTAAAAGTTATCATTAATCAATCCAACAATGCACATTCCTCACTCTAGTATCATTGTTCAACTTGTTTATGACGGTAAACATAAGCCTGCTCAATGCCAAATTTAGAAGACAATTACTTCATCATTCTCTCAAATAGTCACCATCTTTCATTTTGCAGATCTTAAAAGTTCTGACCAATGAAATATAAAGTATTAGTTAATTTATCATCTCTAATCTACATTAATGTTTTAGTTTCTTACATGAGAAACTGCCTTAAAAAACTGAAAACTTTCTCAATGATACTGAGGTTACGTTAGCCAATCTTCTGCATGTTCTGCAAAGTCAATTTTAATCTATCACGATGTGTACTGTCTGCATTTCATTTTTGTTTATTGAAACATTAGAAAATTTGAACGCAAATACTGTTTCGCAGCATTACTTTTTCCCTTCACTTTAATGTCTTCAATGAAAAATGTAAAACCGATTTTCAAGACTTTAAAATATTATCTGTACCGCCAGGGATGTAGTTCAGAGGCGCCGCGGGTGCATGGCAAGAGCAAGGTCCTGAGTTCAATTCCCGGTACCGAAAAAATAAGTAAATAAATAAATAAAAATAAAATATTATCTGCACAAAACATTTGTATGCTTGTTTTTGAAGCCAAGTGCTACCTTGGAAATATCACCTATATTTAAATTTTTAACAGATAATTACAGAAAGAAGAAAGTACTTGTCCTGGTCACACAACTTGCTTGTGGCAGAGCTACAACTCAAATTAGATGTTTCTGTTCTCCTTCAAATTATTTCTACATCTAGCACAGGAATGCATTTTGAAGGATAAACACTTCGGGAAACTCCACTCTCGCCCTATTTTTGAATTTCCAAAAATTTCAATCCACTGTAAAATTCATCATGTTTCAGATTAAATATGGGGAGTTGGCGGCAGGATTCGCGTTTGGTTTGATGCCACCTAGTGGCGCTTGTCCGCTTTAGCCTACATACGGAGGTGACAATTGGGCCTCCAGTGTCAAAGCTGAGACGTCGAAGAGTGCAGCGTCCTCCAGTCACAGCCTCACGGTCGGCCTGGACGGGTCGGCACTTGGCTCGGAACACAGCCCCCTTCTCAGAGCCGGCAGCCTGTGATGCTCCCGCCCAGCAACCCACTAAGTCCGCACCCGTTTTCTTTCCTCGTGTTTTTAGTATTAGCATCCGTTATGAATAAAAACTAGCTCACTCTGAGTCAGGAACTACCTCGAAGGCGCACCCACGATTAAGGGGGGCCCTGAATCAGTCCTCGCGGGGTGCAAGCCTGTGGCCCCAGTGGCCGATGTGACACCAAACGCACCAGGCTGGCGTTGGCAGTGGCCTGGAGAGATACTGTCTGTTTTGACACAAAGTGACAAGGGAAGAGAAACGGGGCGCCGGTCCTGAATGACAGCAGCCCTCTCACCTCCAGGAAGTAACCTTCGAAGGGGACGAGCCGGGGAAGCCGAAACGCAGAGGTCCGAGACGTGTGTGTGCGTGCGTGTGCGCTCAGTGAGCGAGGGGTCGGGTTCGGCTCGGACCCCGAGGCCGCAGAGGCGGATGCACTCAGGCCTACCGCCAGGGGGCGACAACTGCGACGCGGCCGCAGGCCCAGGGACTCAGCAACCGGAGGCGGCGGCCACTCTGCGCGCCGCTACTCTCACCTCCAGGTAGTACAGGTCCACAGTGGTGATCTGCGAGTCGAGGAAATCCTCATAGGTGTTGAACTGTGTGACTATGTTGTCTACACTGGCCAGTCCCTCGTCCTGGTCCATCGCTGTTGCTGGGGCCGAAGCGTCCTTAGCGACAGCAGCCTGAGGACTGGACTGGTCAACCCCACCCACTCAGTTCCTTCCAATCGCCTGGGGCAGCTGTGTTGCGCTTACATGTTAGTCCCGCCCCCGCCCGCCCCCTCCACGTTTTGTTACTGGGTTTCAGGCTTCCGCCTAACTGGGGAAAACCGTCTCGAATAACCCGCGCCCAAATAGGTTTGACCCCGGCGGTCTGACTCACACTTTGGCGAAACGTGGAGCTGGGTAGAGAGGCGAACTGCAATCCAAAGAGAAAAAGTACGACTTTGCGGGGATATTTAGACACAGTATTATAGATAAGCACTTTCAATCACGTTCTAAATCAATGCTATGCTGGATGAAAATACAAAAGTACTTTGCAAGAAGAGTATTTCAAAACAAGCCTGTTGTGACCAAAGCCAATTACAAAATACACTAGTGATTTTGTTCAATAATTTTTAAATTACAGTTAAAAAGTAAACTATTGATATTGTTTGGGTGAAAATAACTTGATAAATTTCTCAAAAAAGAACCACAATGACAATATCTTTAAGGCATCTGTTGGCACATCTAAGTGCTTGCTTTTTCATTTTATTTCTTACTATTTAAATGTCATTAAACACACACAAAAACACTAACTTTGCTGAAGCTGCCTTTTTTAAGAGTTTAAAATATCTTGAAACTTGGTAAAGATTTTTGCTAAAAATTTTTATTTTCCTTGAGAATAAACATTTTGTTTTTAAAATATTGATTTAAAGTAATCCAGCAGGCAGCTGGCAAAATGTTTCAGAACCCATTTTCGGGTCTTAATATTTTTCAAATCATCCTTGAAAATTAAAATATAGTATAGTGCTATCCTTGTAGTGGTTGCTCTCTAAGTACTTACTGAAGTCATTTAGAAAGTTTTCACAGATGACTTAAAAAATTTTAATGAAGACATCTAGTAAGATATTTCACATTAGGGCAGTTTATACAGTTTTTTGAGGTCATATCAAAAATCAGGGTGCCATGAATGTAAGAATTTCAAGTGATACAGATATAATTACTTCTATAATATTACTGACTTATCTTTAATGAATACCTTATGAAATGTTTTTAAAACCATTTTGGACCTTTTTTTTGGTACCGGGGATTGAACTTGGATCCTTTTGCTTGTGAGGCAGGTGGCAGAACCACTGAGCTAAATCCCCAGCTCCTTGGAGCTTATTTTTAAATACAACTTAATCATTGAATTTGGAGGAACAGGAGAGATGGGGGGGCAAGCAAAGCTTAACACAACACATGTAATAATAATAGTAACAAAATATGAATGGCCTTATTAACTAGTATTGGTCAAATAAATAGCCATCAGCAATATGACATTATATAATACCTAAAAACAGATAAGGAAATTCAAAATGCCCAAGAAAGGAGATAAAATCTATCTGACTTAAACCATTACAATTTATAAGAGGCCTAGGTCTCAATACTGTCTATTATCTCCAGAGTTCTATGAGTCTTTCTTGGAAGAGAATTATTCTGAGTAAAGCTTAGAAAAGACTCAGCCACTTATGTACAAAGAATATGAATACTATATTTGTTTTGGTACAATAATATTTAATATGCTATTACCATGTACCAACCCTATTATATAAACCTTATATGACTTACCTCATTTAATCATGAAAACACACTTACTAGGAAAATAGTATTGCTATGATTCTCAATCTAGGCACAGAATACTTTAAATGACTTTGCCAAAGTTCCAAAGATGAAAAATCTTACACACACACAACTTACTAACAATACAACATACTACTCCCAACCTCACACAAGAACAGAGGTAAAGAGATGTTTTGAAGAGTCGCATAGAACTATTTAGTTATTTGTTCATCAGAAAAGAAGAGAAGTCAACTAGTAATATGGAATGTGGATTGGCACAGATGTGAGGAGTGAAAAGGATGATATGTTCCAAGATGTGGAGGCCAGGAAGACCAAGTTCTCTCTAGGACAAAGCACCAAACTGTTTTGACCTTTTCGAGGTGCCCAGCAAGGACAGCAGAGGGAGGAAGCTGGTGGAAAACTAGTGCAGTACTAGGCAAGAGAATCTCCCAAGGGCACCAGTCCAGTCCTGGAACTAAGTGGACTGGACAAAAATGAGATGGCTTCAGGTGCTGTCTGTGCCCTATTGAATACTGATGGATCTCTAGGGAGCTTATCTGGATCACACTAGTTTTGAAGTCCTGTTATCTCAGGGTTTCATTGCTTTCAAGAAACAGTAAAGTGTCTATGGGATGTTTGAATTCACAAAACTGAAGCACTTTGATCACAAGGTTATCTCTACGTTAATAAAACACGAGGTCGTTGTTCGGCTGTGCATTTTCTTAGCATGCCATGATCCATCGTGATAGTACATTTTCAGGGAAACCTTATTAAATTAATCATGTGATCAACAGCTCTTTGTGAAATAATCCATAAAGCATCTAAACTTGAACAATCATGAGTATTTTCAGGCAATGAGTATAGTAGCATCTTCCAGCCCAACACAGTGAGGGTGACTTTCAACAAATCAGCATCTACATTAATATTGAAAGAAAAATAAAAATTTATAATTTTAGCCTTATTCTGCACAGAAAGGCTAGAATTATAGTAAGCTTAATGTCTTTTTTCCTAAACTTTCAAAGTAAGTTTCAGAAACACATTGAGACCTGTGCCTGAGAAATTACATGAACGAGTGGCAACAAAGAAATTAATAAGCATCATCAAGTCTCTCCTTCCAACTACCAGGCCTTTGTTATAATCAGGAAATACTTTATTGTGGATAACATGCATTTCTACTTCAACTCCAGGATTTTTAAATATAGGATCCTGGAATTTAGTGCCAATCCCAGAAATTCCATTCTTTGTCAAAAGACAAGCAAGGATTATGCATATTCACAACAAAACTCCATTTTTGAGACAGAAAACATATGTTATATAAAAATAACAAAATACATGCTATATTTAGGTTACTTACTGAGTAAAAACAGCATAATGTAAAAATAAAAGTCATATTGGGCTGGGGATTAAGCTCAGTGGGGCCACACCTGCCTCGCAAGTGCAAGGTCCTGAGTTAGATCTCCAGTGCCAAAAAAATAAAATAAAATAAAAATAAAAGTCATAGGTAAAACCAAGCATAACTGTGTCTTTGAAATAAACAGGCTTTGGTATTAACATGGCAAAATGATATGAAATAATTTCAGATTAAACTCTATATTTTTCTATTCGCAAGTACTTGGCAACATTATGATGGCTGGGAAAGTGAATAGAAAATATACTTTGGTGTGTTGACATAAAAGGAAAGAGAATACCTTGCTTATTATGATAATGAGATGCTAAATACTCTGAGTAAGAACTTGAGGCTCTATTAAGATGGACTTAATGTATTACTATATTGTAAGAAAGAAAAACATATACTCACTCTAAATAAGATAAGAGATTTATGTCTGATGTTGCCCAACTGCTTACTAAGTGTCTGTGATTACAGATGAGGGGTATTACTTAATCATAATCCAAGGAGAGCTCTTCTGCACTTGGCAATAATGATGACAATGAAATTATTTAAACTATTTCTTATGATGAGATCACTGGACTTCCATGAAGTCTCAGTTATCCTAAAGTGCTAGAGTTCTGGTTCCACTGCTTCTGAGTCATGGAGACATGGTGTCTTCCTGTGTCCTAAATCAGAAGTTTCTCCTTCCTTATCAATACCTGACAATGCTAGGAAGATTCTAGAAGAACGGCAAATAAAGATGGAATTGTAGCCAGTACTGAGGCTGACAGTGTCAGCAGCTGATAAAGAATGAACATCATCACTGTGGAGTGGCTAGGTGAAGGGTGTGATGGCAAAGACCAGGTCTTTGGAACAGAGGGAAACTTGGCCTCCACTGACTCTATAAGCTGTTCCTAACATCCTTGCTAAACATCCCCTCAACCTCTGTGCTCACACAGAAATCAGGCCACACCCCAAAACACTGCTCATCTGACTGGCCAAAACTCTCAGGTAACATCACAAGGGACTAGAGATCATGACAGCTAACACTGAGTTGCCAGTTTCAAGGGGTGCTCAGGCACTTCACCATCAACTATCATGTCTTTCTCTTATTTTCTACAATTACTCTTTTATTTTCACTTCTCTCTTTGCTTTTATATCCTCCTGTCTCAAAGTAGAGAAACTGTTTAACTCCTTCTCCCAAAGAAAGTAAAAGTTATCTAGATTGGGTTTCCTGCAGTCAAACACAAGATTATGAACATTGGTACTGATCCTTGTCTTCTTTCTTTGTGGTTCACGATTCCCGCTATACTTTCACTCTACCTGGATCTATCTCCTTCTGGCCTCTCAGGTTTTCTCATTTCGATTATCCCATAATGTTAATTCATCTTCTCTCTCCCCTTCTCCTTCCTTTTTTCCCTGAGCTCATTTCCAATTTATATATATATATATACCAAGCAAATGAATTCAGAAGAAAACCACCTTCAAATCTACAGTCAACTTCAGCTATAGACTGCCCTACACATCACTTCACAGAAAAGTTTCTGGCAAAACTTATGTCCAATCCCTCTTCCTTCCATTACCTTCCACTTGCTGCTCAATGCATTCTAATCTGAGTTCATACACTGCTCCACTGAAACTATTTTCACCAATGTCAATTATTGCCTCTTTGCCATTATGGTCAATAGACATAATTTTGTCCTCACGCTGCTTGACTCTCAGCAGCATTTGCTCTATGACTACTCCCTTCACTTCAAAATTCCCTCTTTGACCTCCATCAAGCTACGTTGCCCAGAGGTTGGTAGCTGCTTCTTTTCTTTGCTGGATCCTTGTCCCATTAACTTACTTTTAAAATTTGGAGAGTCTCAGAGTTTTTTGCTAGGACAATTTCTACTCCTCACTCTTGTCACTTGGAAATCTCATCCATATATCCATTGCTTTACTGTACTTACTATCATATATGCATCTGATTTCCTGATCTATTTTACTAGCCAGTCACTCTTCTGTGCTCTGAGCAGATATCCAACTACCTAGCAGAC